TTTTTTTTTTTCAGTGGTGGCATGGGCTAAGTATACTCGCAGTAAAATGTTTTAAAAATAGGATTTACTATGACTTCCATGGATCTTGGGGGAAGAAGGAAAGTAAAAGGGGGATTGAAATAATAAGGTCATTGTAAATTATTTTTTTTAATAAAATTGGATTCCAGTGGCAGGCAGTAGAGCCCCATCCAGACAGGTTTAACTGGCAGCCTTCCAAAAGCGAGATGAAAGGTCCTCTGAGTAGTAATTGCCTAAATGGAACAGTCTGTGGTTATTGTGCAACTTCTTCATCTGCTTTATTGTACCTTTATAATTAAATGATGTAATTCTTTTTTTTTTTTTTACTTTCTTGTTTCCTTCCCAACTAGTGCAGGAAAGCATCTGAGCAACATTGCCATAGGACGCAGACAGACTCTGTGGCTTCCAGTTTTTTTCTGGGTCACTAAAAGTCGTACAGGAGGGGTTGTGAGCTGTTGGTTGCCGAAGCAGGACATAAACTCTGCCTTCTCCCATCCACAAATGGACACTTACCTGCATTTCAAATCTCTTCTTGCTTAGTGGAGGTCAGTTCACTGGGATTTTTTCGTAGGGTAAGGGAATGCTGCTGCTTTTGCTGGAAACTCAGTGGTAAACAGGGAAACAGTGGATCTACTAGGATATCGGGAACACTATATTCAAAAAGGCATTAAGCAGCAGGGCTATTTAATTCACGGAGGAGACTGAACAGACACCTGAGAATCAGAAGAAGCTTAGAGTATCACTCCAAACAAACCCAGAGCCAGCGCTTGTGACTGTGCAAGGCATTAGGGATCAGGAGTGAAATTCTGGTCCCGAGATGCTGAAAGACTTGATCAGATGTGAAAGCAAAATCAGAGGACCAGCTTTGCAAGCTCTTTCTTTCTGACTGGTCCTTCTTGACAAGAGTGCTTTCCCTCAGTCCCAGTAGCCCATTCACAGGAATAAAGATTACTCAAGTGAGTAAAAGTTAGCAAGACTGGACCCTGGGTTTGCATGTTCAACTCCAATAATTTCTTCATTGACTTTCATTTCTGTTGTTTCTGGGTTTATTTTTTTCATTCATGATGACAAAGAGAAATTAATTGCCTAATTTTGATGCAGTTTTAGAATATTCTTCAGGCCTTTGATCTCTTATGTCTGCCTGCCTCTCCCTGAGTATACTTACTTGTGATCATAGAACCATAGTATGGTTTGGGTTGGAAGGGACCTTCAAGATCATCTAGTTCTAACCCCCCTGCCATGGGCAGGGACACCTTCCACTACAGCAGGTTGCTCAAAGCCTCATCCAACCTGGCCTTATCCAAACAGTGATAATCTGTTTTAATTCATTGGCTATGTATCTAATTGTATTATTTCAAAATATGCACCTGGATTCTATGGGAATATTAAAAAAGGGATAGGAGAAACGTAAGTAGGTCCAACTATTTTATATATGCATTAGTGTCTGTTATATCTATACATAAGAAATCTGAAGTAACATCTCCAGTTCTTCTAGCAAAATCCAAGATAAAAGTTTTGATTTATTTGCCAGAAAGTAAAACTAATAAATACAGAATGGAATCACAGATGTGACCCAGCCTCTTCAGAAACAGAACTGTTTTTTAAAACCACTAGCATCAGAATACTGCCAAGCACCATAGGGCCCGATCCTGCCACAAACCATTGCCTACAGCTTGTATTAATTTCAGCAGAGTTCATAAACAGAATAACTGCAGGGTATTTGCAAAGCTAGTTAGGCTCTTAACGACTACTTTTTGTTATCCTTTGATGGACAAACCTACCATTCTCAGTACTGGAAGTTTTGCCTAGGGAAGAGCATAGGATCTGTCTCAAAATAAATGGATCCCTTAGATCCTGCCCAGCTTCAAAAAAAAAAAAAAAAAAACCCAAACCAAAAAACACCAACCCTTAATAGCATTTACATTCAATTACATATAGCATTACACACAATATTTGGGGCCAGAACCTGCATTAGTTTATCCATTTCCGGAAGAGGTGTGCTAGATTAAATTAACAGCTGGCAGAGGAAGGAGAGTAAAAGGCCTATGTGCCAATAACATCCTCTTTTATATGGTATTTACCCTGGAGCTCATAGAGAGAGAGATTTCCGCTGTGCAGGAACATGTGCCCCAGTCAGGGTGTTTGATGGCTACAGACACGGTACATCTGCAGCTCCCCACATCTGCACAGGACATGCTCTGCCCAGGCACCCACCTTTGCAATTTCTAACTCCAGACAAGCATCTGCCACGGAAGAAAAACTGGAAAAGCAAGGTGGTGCTGTCTGAGTGAATCTAGAGTAGCTGCTCCTTTGGAACTCAGAGCTGTTCTCAACATTGGACAGTGACGGCAAATGTACTTATTCCACTTTGATCATATAGCTGAGGATAGTGAAGAAACAGTCTAGTAGCGGGCCTTAGGTGGGAACAGGGACACTAGTTGACTACCCATGTAAAGCTAGTTCTTCTAATTCACTGACTCCAGCATACAGGGATTTTTAACAGACAATTATTTTGCATCACTTTTTGACAAGAGGAGAGTAAAATCCATTTGTTCTTTTTGATCTATTCGCTTATACAAACTGGACAAGCGATCCTGTAATATCGCTATCTCCAGCTTTATTTCTGAGCAAGTCAAACACTTTATTTTACTGAATTGCCATTATACTTGCTCTTCTATGTTTTAATCTGGAAGTACCAAAGCAACACACCTCTACAGCATTAGTGCTAACAGGTGACTTCATCACGGCTGAGAGTTATAGCATAGGTAGATCCACACTCCAAAAATTAACTATAATGTTGGTATTCAGTTTGATGGGTCTCCCTCCTTTAACATTACTCTCAGCGTACAATGTGTATCAAAAAACCTTTAAAGAAGGCAAGGAGTCACATACACCTATACTTGCACGTACCTCCCTTATGCGCACAATTTGCACTTCTGACACAGGGACAGCAACTCCGTGAAGTGGCTCTCTGGCCATCTGCACACACATATGTCCAAGAATATGTGTGCAGGAACGCACGCTCTACCTGAGCCCGGGAACCCCTGGCTACCAGCTGAACACTGTAAATTTAGAGTTAGCTCACTACACACACACTCATTCATTCACACGTGAACACACACATGAACACACACATGAACACACACAAATTACAGCAGGATCTTTCAAAGACTATCTTCTCCAGCATCTAACCACCTCAGCTTGAGTTGTCACATTTTCTTTCTGGCTAACACTTAGCAGGGCTGCCCTTACATGGAACCCAGTGCTAGGCAATTTCAGCAGTTTCTGGCAGGAGAAACGGACGTTCCTGAGGACAAGGCAGGCGGTGAAAGAGGAACAAGTCCCACTTATTTCAAGAAGAAAAACCTCTCTAATAATGGAAACTCCTTTTGCCAAAGGTGAGCTCTGGTGACATATTTGCCCACTGTCAAGGTTAAATTCTTTGTTTATGCCCCGAGCAGAGGGAGCACACGTGGCAGAGCAATCCAGCCCTCCGCGGCCAGCCCAGCACGCCTGCGCCCTCACCTAGACGGAGAAGAGGATTCCCTCTCTCGGCACTGAAACCAGCAGCAGGGTGCCAGGGTGCTGACAGGCTTCAGACATGTTCACTTGTCCATTACAAATGGGACTGAAGCCACCAATTCATTTCATAGGGGTCGTTAAATAGCAACCAGAATTAAGGGTCACTAGCAACACAAACAGGACCCTAACTAGTGATCTAGGTTCCCAGCTACACCACCTGTTTGTACCATCCCAGTGCAAGTCTATATCATGCTACTCACCTCTGCTGCTCACTTTTAAAACATATGGAACAAAATGTATACATTGGCAAACACATGTGAGAGTTTGTCCCTCATGAATAATTAGCTTTAAGCAATAATTCCGCTTGCAATGCCTGAAGAGGGAATTAACACAGTCTATCAAGGGAGTTTGGGACAGGGAACACGCTTAGAAAACAAGTATTTTTAAAGATTGAATGGCATAAGAAGTAATGATTTCACTGTGATGGAAATAAACCACTGGGGAATCATCTGAATGCAACAGAAGAACCATGGGAGGGAGATGTTATTTTGTTGTACGGAGTAACCATGCCGTGGGTAGCAAAGATGCTGTCATCCTTTACTGAAACCCTCATTATCCTGCAAAAACATACATCTTTTGTAGACAGGATGTTTAGGCTGGCTTTATGTGTATTTCTCCTCCCTATGCTTAGGATCAAAGAAACGTTTGAGGGAAACTGACCATCATCTTGAACTGGTATCGTGGGGAAATAAAGAAGAAGAAGGACCAAAAGACAAGGAAAAACATAGCACAAAAATGCTACAGGCAAACAGATGCATCTCCACCCCAAGAGAAAATAATTCCTTTTTAACACTTTTAATAAATTCATGTAATGTTTTGTAGACATTGAAAATATTCCAAAACATAGCTCAGTGTAAACAGCAAGCTGGGTTTCCTCCTGCTCTTTAGCATTTCTCTTTGTTTACTCTCCATTTGAGGATAGAAAAATCCTCCATGTGAGCACTGCAAATGGTGTAATTCAGGACTGATGGGGCATTCGGTAAGGGAATGAAGAAATACAGACATATGTAGCCTTCAGTAAAATAATATTAATTTGCCTGAGTCACCAGGGTCAAATAAAATTTAAAAACAAAAAAAAATCCAGCGTCTGCTTTGTTAGTACTTGCTATTTGTATGCAGAAAATAATTGATACCATGGTGATGGGCAGACTATATTAAGCTTAGAGAGACAGAGACATGAGAGAGACATTCTGGGGTGTGTCTGCTCTCACCCTCACTGCCTTCTCGCTCCCAAACCCCATGCCTCAGCAGTACAGAACCCATGGGAAACTGCCCTGGCAGTGCTTCGGGAAGGGATGCCCAGCCAGGCCAGTTCATCCATCGCAAGAAGAGGTACTTGGCTAGAGTCTGCTCAGCTCAGGAGGGCCTGGCACGTTCATCTGGTAAAAAACAGCCCTTACCTTTGGCAATCAGCTCCTCCAGCTCTTGGTCGAATCCTTGTCGGTGGCATTTCCTCCAGAGCCCCATGTTGGTCGAGTTGTACTGTCTGTTGCACTCGTCGACTGCGCTCATAGCAAAGATCTGCCTCCTGTTTCTTGCCAAGAGGAGTTTCCCTTCCCAGCGGTCCAACCTAGACCTGCTGGCCCTGAGAGGCAGGTTGTTGTTGGAGTTATAAATGAAGCCAGGATCATTTCTCTTAGTGGTGATGCTCTTGCACCTCTCTCTGTGCTTCCTGGCATCAGTTTCGTACCAATGGTCGGAGCAGATTGCCACAGCCAGCATGCCCAGGGCACACAGAGCTAAAGAGAGGCCGGCATACAGCAGTAACCTTCCAGCAGCCATACCTCAGCTTCACAGAAACACCATGGGCATCTTCACAACAGGCAAAGCCCTTGAGCGTGAGACCACGCAGAACCCTCCAGAGTAGCTGCGAGGTGTCACTTGGCAGAGCCTGCCTCAGACATCCCCGGCTCCCGTGGCTCACATCCACGCTGCGGAGGGATGCTGAGAGCGCTACAAAGTTCTGCACTGGAAGCAGTCCTGGAGTCTCATCTGCCTCTTCTTCTCTGCGGAG